CTCTTTACCTTTATTGTGGCCACGGGTCCACAGCACCACAGTTGTTTCTAGAGTCCACTTTACAGATGGTGTAAAATGTCATGATGCTAATGATCGAAAGGCCCAGGCTCTGTGTGGGGAATGTGGGAAAGGCCCAGGCTCTGTGTGGGGAATGTGGGAAAGGCCCAGGCTCTGTGTGAGGAATGTGGGAAAGGCCCAGGCTCTGTGTGGGGAATGTGGGGAGATTCAGGCTCTGTGTGGGGAGTGTGGGGAGATTCAGGCTCTGTGTGGGGAGTGTGGGGAGATTCAGGCTCTGTGTGGGGAGTGTGGGGAGATTCAGGCTCTGTGTGGGGAATGTGGGAAAGGCCCAGGTTCTGTGTGGGGAGGGGAAGGTTCAGGCTCTGTGTGGTGAGGAACCTGCCTCTTCCCTGCATGGCCTCTGGCCTCGCTGAGCTGCAGATGTGGGTCTGAGCTGCTGTGCAAGACCATGGCTTTGAGTGCGCATGTCATCCTCCCTGTGCTTCCCCTGGGTTCTGCACATGACCTGAAGGTCTGGAGAGTGAGGAGCAGGGCGTCCAGTAGGGACCTGGCCCTGGGCGGCCTCCACAACTGTGCTGGCCCCGGGACACTCCTGGGCTCTGATACTGTAGCTTAAAGCCCTGCTGGGACCTCCCTGCAGGGCTTCTGTTCTACTATTTAATTTAACTTTATTTATTTCTTATCCTACCTTTCTTTCCTGCCACTGCTTGAATGGGGAACCTGGATTCTCCCGTGCAGCCATATTTGCTGCCCCCGCATATTGAGCCGGTGCTGGCTGGTTTGTTTGTTTGCAGAATGCTTTTGCTTTTTGAACTGGCACGTTTTTCCTTGACCTTGAAATGCATGGAGATCTCCTCTGACTGCCTCTCAGACCTCAAGAAGATGGAAAGCAAAGTAAGTGGCTTTATGACACTGTTGCCTGGGGTTGGGAGGCTGCTCACCGTGCATTTGGACAAAAGGCAAAGAAGGGAAAAGCAGTTCACAAGGCCGTGGCCCCCAGGGCTTCGGTCAGTGGTTGGCACGTTGCCGTCTTTCCTACCTGTGTTTTGCACAACTGTGGTTAGATGGTGTTTGCAATTTTACACCTGCCCATTTCTCTTTACCTTTATTGTGGCCACGGGTCCACAGCACCACAGTTGTTTCTAGAGTCCACTTTACAGATGGTGTAAAATGTCATGATGCTAATGATCCGGAACATTCTCCAGCAGTCTCATTATTGGACGCGTAAGTCACACCGGCCATGCCTCATTACCCACAGTTCACTTTCTGCAGTTTGCTACCTGCAGGTACCTACAGTATGAAAGTATGAAGGTTTTTTGAGGGAGAGGCCACAGCCACATCACTTTTGTTACAGCATAGTGTTATGGTTGTATTTGATTATTAGTTATTGTTATGAATATCGTACTGTGCCTAATTTAGAAATTGAAGTTTATCGTAGGGATTTCTGTCTAGAAAAATCACAGTGTACATCGGGTTTGGGACTGCTCCACGTTTCAGGCCTCCACTGGGTTGGGGGGTCTTGAAACATATCCTCTCAGAGAAGGGGGGGCTACTGTATCATTTTTTGCTAATTACATAAAGGGCTGCAGTGAACATTTTGTGCCTAAAACATTTTTCTGCATTTAGGATTTTTCCCTAAGATGAGTGTATTTACATGAAATGACTAGGGAATGCTCACTTTCAATATTTTAAGAATACACGTTAGAGAACCGCCCTCCAGAAAAAGCTTCACACAACCAAAGGTGTGTAAGACTGAAGACGTCAGGCTTGCTGATGCTTTCGGGAACTGCCACAGGCCCTGCCACAGAGCAGGGACAATGGGATCAGTTTATCGGGTGGTTTTGAGCAAACTGAGTGCCGCTTTACACACGGAGAGTGAAGGGGGGACCCTCGGGTGCACAGCCACGTGCTGGGGCTCCCCTCGTGGTGTCTTCCTTGAGCACCTGTGGTGTGCTTTGCCCCAGGTTACCCACGAGTAATCGTAAACCGAGCCGTCAGTAGTGCAGGAGACACGGCCGTGGCTCAGCACGGGGGGAGCCGGCCAGTCACACTGAGGGCTGTGCTGATCTGGAAATGGTTTCAGAACAGGAGATACAGTTCACGTGGCCTTGAGAGACAGGCGGGAAGCGTGGTCAAGGCTGGAAACGGCAGCCCGTGCAGTACGGAGGATGAGGGCAGCGTGGGAGGCGCTCCTGTGTTTGATGCCCTTTACTGGCTTCTGTGAGCCCCATTTCCATCTTCTCGGTTTCAATGGTGTGGTGTCCCCAGTTCAGAATGACTGTGGAAAGCCTAGGTCCGGCCCCACTTCCTCCTCCCCAGCAGCCCTTCCTTCAGCTCCCTGCGCCTCAGGGTTTGTCGCTGCAAAATGGCAGCAGTAACAGGACTCATCTCCGAGGGCTGCTGTGGAACTCAAAGCAATGTTTTGTGTATCCCAGGTTGAGGCTCCCGGGCAGGCCCCTGCTGCCGTGGGGTTGCCGTTAGGGAGGCTCCTGTAGCCCAACTCTGCCGCCACCGGCCGTGGCCCCTGCAGAGCATGTCCCTCTGCCCTGGCTTGAAGACGCTCTCCTGGCCCTTTGCCCGGTTGGCCTCTGCCCATCCCTCAGGCCCCAGCCCTCCTGTTACCTCCTGTCTCACTGCTGGTCGAAAGCGACCTTCTCTAGGTGAACATTCTGCTGGGAGGCTCGTTATCCCTGCCAGCCTCCTGGTAGACATTCAGGATCTCATGAGATTTAGTTTGAATTAAAAGCTCACTAATGTTAAGGATATAAATGGTTTTTAATTTTGAAGCCTTGGTGCATTTTTAAAGACTATCCACCGTCATACATTTCACGATTGCCTGAGTGAATGGTGGAAATGATTTAACCAGGCAGACACCCGCACCTGTGGGACCCCATAAAGAGTTTTAAGATCCATATCCATGTGGGAAGCATGGAGCTCTTTTTCTGACCCCTGTGAAGCCTGGCATAGCTTCCTCAGTGGCATGGAGGCTTGCGGCTGCTGGACAGGTGGGGGCACACAGCCTGGGGCGGCGGCCTCCTGCGCTCTCCATCCTGGCCAGCACCAAGGCCCAGATGTGCAGGACTGCGGTGCAGCCATCCTGAGGTGCTGCAGGTACTTCCCATCCTTGCGGACATCTGCTGCCGAGGACCCGCTCCCCGGGGCGGAGGAGTCTGCTGCTGAGGACCTGCTTCTTGGGACGTCTGTGTCTGTTGTTTGTGAAGATGCTACAACCATCAGCACCTGCGCTCACAGACTAGGAGCTTGAGTCTCCTGTGTCCAGAAGACCTGCACCCCTCGAGCCAGGGCGGGTTTAGGGTTTAGGAGTGTCACCCCTCGAGCCAGGGCGGGTTTAGGGTTTAGGAGTGTCACCCCTCGAGCCAGGG